GGGGTTGTGGTGGCTGTGACGGCGGGAGATGACGTGCTCTGCGGCAAAGGGGCTACCCTGTAGGGTTGAAATGGGGTACAGCAGCCGTGGAGATGGTGGCTTCATCGTGGTAAGACTTGCCAGAGTAGGGCTCAGGGGGATTTTTGGGGGGATATCTGCAACCAGTACATGAAGGAGATGAATGATGGGATCTACAGCTATGGTGCTGATGGTGGCTTAACTGCTTTTTGCCTTTAGTCCTGAGTCCCGGCGGTTTGCGAAAAGACAAGGCCCGAACGACACTGGTCGGTGCTGGGGCTTGGTCGTGCTGCCCTGTAACTCGAGCTGTACAAGGGCATGAGACCTGGTAGCAAGATCTGCGGAGTTGTCAAGGGTGGACGACACTCTAGTGTCTTTCGGTGAGCTGGTGCCTAGTCGATGCTGGCCTGAGCCGGGGCGGGTCGTTTTGCCCTGTGGCCTAGCAGGTGGGAGGTTTCTGGGGTGGGTTGTGCCACTCTGCGACCTAGCAGATGGGGGCATGAGGCCTGGTAAAGATTGGGCATCGGGATATAGGGGTGAGGCAGGTAGGGTTGGGCTGCTGAAAGGCCCTAAGGCAGGTGTTCTTTTCGTTCAGATTGCTTCTTCGATCCAAGCTTTGGGGGACACAGAATTTCAGTATTCTTGTGTAGATTACACAATTGTCTTTTGGCCCCGGTATCTCAAGAATTTCTTCATAAATTTGTCATTTCTTCAATATGTTCTTGAATGGGACACTGGGCCCGGTTCCCAGCACGTGCTGCTCCCCACGAATAGACTGGAGCATGTCCCTTTCAAAAAAAAAAAAAAAAAAAAAAAAAAAAAAAAAAGGGCTGCATGCCACGGGTGAGTAGGGAAAAGCATTTGCCGAAAAGAATACAATGAAAACTTACAAGACACACAAAACAAATACACAATTCCGAATTTCAACATTCAAAATTACAAGTTTAATGATAACTTTCACCCAAAAGAAAAACAAAAAGAATTAATATGAATACAATTCAAATTATTCAATACATGCAGGAAGATCAGGCACATCCCTCTGACATGGGCAACGATGAGGCCATACCACTATCGATTCGTATTGAAGCATTTCCCACAAGATGCCACTGCCGTATTACTCATCTGCTTCTGGTGGAGTTCAAACTCAGGTCTGTATATCAATAGCTCAAGTGTGTACCAACTGAGGTAGCACTGAATGTCATGTGAGACTGCAAGCCCTTGCACTCATCTGCTTCCAGTGGAGTTTGAACTCAGGTCTGTGCGTCTGGTTCCAGTGGAGTTCGAACTCAGTTGGTCTGTATTTCAACAGTCCAAGGGTATACCAACTGAACTAGCACTGAATGACATGCAAGACTGCAAAACTTGCGCTCATCTGCTTCCAGTGGAGATCGAACTCAGGTCTTTATGGGGTGTACCAACTGATCTACCACTGAATGTCAGGTGAGAGTGCAAGCCCTTGCACTCATCTGCTTCCAGTGGAGTTAGAACTCAGTGGGTCTGTATTTCAACAGTTCAAGGCTGTACCAACTGAGCTAGCACTGTATGTTCTGCACGACTGGAAAAACAAACTTCCCTTGTGTCAGGGGGCGCTGCCCACACACGCAAGATTCTCCCATCCTCCATATCACAGCACACGTTCACTATCGAGGCTGTCGTGAACTCACCTGTTTCAACACGTAACAATCTCTCATGTCGCTGGTTCAGACTCCAGAGTCTTGAGACGCAGAACACGTGTGAGGAGAATCTCTTGCACTGGGCTGCTTGCTCAGAGAGAGGACTTCAGCAATAACTAACTCGCCTCGATTTGACCTGCTTTGAAATAGACGGAAACGTCAACAGGGCCAAAAGCAGGCAGGGATCGCTTGCATTGGATTGCTCGATCAGAGGGAGGACTTGAGCAATAGACAACTCTCCTCATCAGACAGACAGAACCATCAACAGGCAGGTATCTCGTGTGCTGTGCTACTCGGTCAGAGGAGAGGAGGAATAGAGCGACAACTCTCCCCGCTTTGGCCTGCTTCAGACAGATGGAACTGTTAATGGCAGGGATTTCTTGCGCTGTATTGCTTGATCGGCTCCGCTTGCTCTGGCCAGCTTTCGACAAATCGAACTATCAACAGACAGCAATCTCTTCTGCTGTGTTGCTCTTGTTGGAGGACTTCACTCACATCAGTTTGCGCTTTGGAGAAGTTTAGGCGTCTCTAGGACCAGCAGCAGGGCAGGGATATCCTGTGCTGTGCTGCTCTGTCGGTCGGAGGAGTTCGTTCATAGCTCTGCTTGCTTTCGCCTCCTCTGTGTCGCTCAGCGGGAGGACTTACCTCTCGTCATTTTGCGCTTTAGAGAAGCTTAGACGTATAGGGTCATGAACAGGCAGGGGATATCCTGTGCTGTGTTGCTCGGTCGGAGGAGTTGATTCATAGCTCTGCTTGCTTTTGCCTCCTTTGAAAGGATCGAATCATGAACAGGCAACAATCTCTTGTGTTGTGTTGCCTGGTTGGCGTCCGATTGGAGGACTTGACTTCTGTTGCTCTGGCCTGCTTTTTTGCGTGGTATGTTACTCAGTCGGAGGAGTTCATTCATAGCTCTGCTTGCTTTCGCCTCCTATGGACAGATCGAACTATCAACAGGCATCGATCTTTTGTCCTGTGTTGGCCGATCGGAGAACTAAATTCATGTCGCTTTTTGGCCTGCTTTAAACAGATAGAAGCATCAACAGGCAATGATCTCTTGAGTGCTGTGTTGCACAGTCATAGGAGTCGATTCATGGCTGTGCTTGTTTTCACGTCCTCGAGACAGATCGAAACAGTCAACAGCTAGCGAGCTCATTGAACAGTACAAAATCCGTAAGGCGTGGAGAACATCCGCGTAGAGGGTATGAGACCGCACAGACTAAGGGCCTCGATCCACTACACAACATTCTACATGCATTTGAACGCTTTTTGGACTGTATACATTCAAAATGTTGGACTCATCCAAATGCACCTGGCCCAGAAAGTGTCCAAAATGGATGTAGAGTGCTGTGCAGAGAAGCAAGGTCCTAAACCTTGCATGCACACAAGATGTATGATGTCCGATCAGGCGGAAGCATCTCAATGGGCACTGCAATGACTGCAATGTATTCAGCTCAGGCCCCCCACCTCACACTTCTTGACAGACAGCCCCTAGTTGCTGCTGCAGACAGACAGCGAATTCTCCATTGCGCAGCAGCAATCGCAGCAATGTTTCCTGCATTTCAAACGGCGACTAAAGCTTCAGCATACTCACACAAGGATGTTCCGGGACGTCTCCGACCGCAATTACGCCCCGTCCTGGATGAATATGGCCGCAATTACGTCCAGCTACCAGCTGAAAAGTACTGGCACAGACTATGCCCTGAGCTGACCTCACATCATCATCTGTCATGTTGTTGGTCTGCCTCATCCGTTTGTTCCTCCCATAGACAGACTAAGAGGTGGACCCCACTGCTTTGCGGCAAAGCTTTGGAAAACGCTCAGATATGACGTGGCAGACGTTTTCACTCAGTTTTGTTTTGCCCGTTCCTTGCGGTTCGGTCATTCTGAGGGGGTAAGGGGGGCCCACCTCCCTCGGTTCGGCCATCCCATGTGGAAAGGAGAGCCAGGGATTGGGTGAGAACCGAGACAAGCAGATGTGAAGTTTCCATATAGGGAAAGTTTTCCCTATTGGGTAACCGGCACCAGCGGAACTGGCGAAAAATTTGTGCTGCAGTGGGGTCCGCTTTTCTCTTTCCCATCGCCGGGGCCTACGATTTGGGTTTGGCGGAAGCTTTCCGCCTGGAAAGCTTCTGCCAGGCAGTGAGGTCCACCTCTAAAACTTGCTGGCATGTATCTGACTGCAATTACAGTCTGTCCGGGATGAATCACTGCAATTACGTCCAGAGGTCAGTGGAAAAAATACTACCGTCTCCACCCGAATAGAACACCCGATCATTTGCCCAAGCGGGCAAGCTCAGTTGGTTGAGCACGTAAGTGGCACTCAGGAGGTTGTGGGATCAATACCCAACGTCGTCCTTTCGATCCCCGCAACCTCCTGGGGGTATGCTTTGGGTTCATCACCGGAGATTCTTGGCTTGGGCCTCCTCGCTCCTCGGGAAGATAGTTCCTTTCCAGCCCCCACCGGGTGTTAGGAGCTTGGGTACTGCTCTCCCCACATAGCAGAGATAGGTAGGCATAGACCCATAACCTTAGGATAGCATGGCGTTGGCTAGTGAATTTAAGTCCCCTGTTGTTGAACATGGACCCGGGTTCCTTGCTGGTTGGGTTGCGGTGCCCCTTGTAGGTCTGGAAGGTGAGTAGATCGAGTACACAGCCCAGGGTAGGTAGTGTGAGATGCAAAAATATTGAGAGAAGAAAACAGCATTAAAAAATGCAGCTGTTCCCCCATATGGGGAGAAGGCAGCCTGCATTAAAAAAAAGAAAAAGGGAAAAAAAAGAACACCCGATCATTATAGCTAATTCAGGGTAACTTTCAGTTGGGAAGGAGTGATACTGACCAGGCGTTCTATTCGGGTGAAGATTTAGTCATGTTGGCTGTCAGACTCTTCCTTTCTATCCGGGTGAAGATGGTAGTCATGTATGTTGTCTGTCTGGCTCGTCCGTTCATTCCTCTCCTTGCTACAACCGATACCACATCCAGACAGGTGGAACCAAAAAACACATACCACCACATAGTACCACAATACAGCATAGTACCACATAGTACCAAGAACTTGCTCAGTCTGGCAGCAGCTACGGCCATAAAGAAAAAGGTGCAGATCAGAAAAGCGGCAAAAGAACAGAAAACGGGAAGAGGAAGACAAAGAAGTCGCCGGCAGACATTTAAAAAAAAAAAAAGGTTGCCGGAAGACATGCTCTCCACAAGAGAAAGGAGACAGGACCATGAGGCCCTGTTTTCTTAAAAACAAAGAAGAAGACGAAGAAGACGAAGAAGACGAAGAAGACGAGGAAGAAGAAGAAGAAGAAGAGCACGAAGTGTTGGCTGTACCAACGGCCCTAGCTCAGTTGATACACCCATGAATTGTTGAAATGTAGACTCAAGTTCAAATCCAGATGGAACTGGATGATGAATTATGAGTTACCCACTGGTAGGGTAGGTCAGTTCAACGATGATATCTCGACAGCCATACTCGATGATGAATTCTGAATTACGTACTGGTAGGGTCGGTCAGTTCGACGATGATATCTCAATGGCCATCGCCCTTTTAAACCGCCAGTTCACCTGAAGCAGAGCACTGCTCGTACTGGCATACGCGGAAAGAGCATTTCAACTCGGGCCTGAGCCGGTAGCGAAAGTGGCAGGCCACGTCCAAATGGCGCAGTTGCAGGCTCACGAGCCTTGGAAAGTAGCTTCGTCGAACTTAGGTTTGTGTGAACTGGTGACTTAAGATGAGAAGTGTTGCCTGTCTCTTGATCTGACACTGCTCCTCAGCTCTCACTTCGCCAATTAGCCGCCTCTGTTCGTTTCGCTACCATCGAACAACTATTTGCCAGGTGAGGGCAATACACACACAAGGACTTGACTGATTGCTGGATCAGCCTGGCCTGGATGCGATCAGAGCCAGATACATCCACCAGGAGGCGTAATTGCAGACAGGGACATCTACGGAAGTTCTAGTGTGAGGGTACTCTGACAGGTCTCATGGTGTGCGCCACTGGCCAACCCAAAAGGTCAAAATTATGAGAACAAAACTGCAAAATAGAAACCGGGTGTCGGCGATGAATCGCAAGTTCACACGCCATCCTCGCCTCCTCAGCTCTCTAATCCCCATGGCCCAACTGTGCTCCGCGCAATTGCTGAGCAGCTCGTGCAGGCGCAGCAACATCGCATGGAGACTGAGGGTGGACGGCAAGATCATGGACAGAACCTCTCGTGCACTGCTGTCCTTGCCGATGCAGGGGCCATTGACATCTCCAGCTCCAGCCCTGCCTGTATCACAACCCGTGTCAAGATTGTCACTAGGATCATTATGATTAGCATCACCACACCCATGGCCGTCGTTACCACCTCCCACTCCCGCAGCTACTCTTCTGTCCACTGCTCCATTGTTTCTATCTCCGCTTTTGACCCCCTCCTGCTGATCTCTCCCCATGCCCTGCTCATCAAGATTATCATTAGGATTGTCATCATCATCATCATCATCATGATGACGCTCATGGGCGCCATTTGCATCTCCTGCTCCCGTGGTTGCTCTTCTGCCCACTGCTCTTCCACTGTTTTTGTCTCCGTTTTCGGTTCCCTCCTTCTGTTCATTCCCTCTGTCCCACTCTGTCTCTTGGTCCAACCCCGTCACTCTGTTCACCAAGTTCGACAGCTTGACGAGCTGCTCGACAAGCCATCCGATCTCTGTCGCCTCGACTGGTCGTTTCATCCAATCACCTTTGTACCGAACTTCTGCCCACGTGTGCCTCCCAAGGGCTGGCCTGGAGGAGGATGGACCCAAGAGTCCAAGGCGGCTGTCACCCTTATCCCCTCTGTCGGAACCTACTCCGTGCTGGACCACAGCACCTCTCACCTTTATCAGGTCGCGACTCTGGCGCATCTCATCCGGACTACAAACGGCTGGTGTTCCACCTTCCCTTCCCAGAGGAGTTGCACGGATTGAACCGCTCAACCCCGGTTGGGCAGCCGGGGCACCCTTGGCCACCATAGAATATCCGCCTGTGGATTGAGCCTCGTGGTGCCCTGCAGTTGGCTGCTCCCCTCGCAAACCATGCGAGGCAAACACCCGGGACGCAGCCTTCTTCAGAGACTCCAAAACGACTGGATTCGGCAATGGCGATCCGCAAGAGGCAACCTGCATCTGCGCTTCAACGTGCATGATCAATGCCTCAACCAGCCTCTCACCCCCCTGTTCCTCCTCTGAACTGAAAAGACAAAGGCACGTTGTATCTAATTGTGCCCTCCCCTGAGGCGATGCTGGCAGGAATGGTGGCGGCGTAGGCAGTGGGCTGGTTCCCCGGACGGAGTATGCTGGTGGAGAGCATCTGTATCTGTCCCACACTGGGACTTGGGAATCTGGTTGGGCCCAGAGAACACATGGTGCGGCTTCCCAATCCACGATCTGCTCTTGGATGAAGGTGCGCAGGGTGTTCACAACGTTGGGTGGAAAAGTTTCATGCTGCTGCTGATTATTACGACCAAGAGAAGACTGCTTTTGTAGTAGCGGAGAATAGCAGAGACATGCCATCTCAATCTGTCGCACAAGGTCCAACAGTGCGGGTGAGCTGGCGAAGAAGGACAGCACTCTCGTGAGTCGTTGAACGGCCATACTGCAGTTGACCTCTGACATTTTCAGAGCGAACTCAACGAACTTGACAACCAATATGTTATAGTACAAGTAGTTGGATACAACATAAGCCTCCCACCTGGAGTTGTACAGCAACGAGGAGGGAGCACCTTCATGGGTTTTTCTACTTGAAGAAGAAGAAGGTATGCTGGTCATCTGCGTTGTCGACACTGGTTCCCCTGCGTGCCATGTGAGACGGCGACTGCCTGCACCCTGCTCCTGATCGCCTCGTCGTCCTACCCCCTCCCCTCCAAATACTGAAGGCAAGTACTGCACAAAGAGATCGGATAATCTTCTGTCAGGACTGGTGGACCCTCCGACCTCATTTCCTCCACCTGCTCTCGCCTGTTCTCCTCCTCTCCGAGCCCCTCGATGACCTAGGCTGCCATTGCGCATTGCCGAAGAACCTTGAGGCAGACTCCACGGCGCTATGTATGTGATCCAGATGCCGACAAGCATATCCAAACGGCCCGGGTTGATGTCCTCTACCGGCCAATGTGCAAAAGCCCTTCGCAGGAATCGATAGAGGGGTCTCTGCAACACCTGGCAGGCATACGGCAGCAGCACATTGGACGCGCTTGCTATCCTAGCCCTTGACACCATGCCATTCCCCAGCATGTCCGTTGTTCGTATCCCCTTCCCACTTTCCCCTTGGATACCGATCGACGATCTGCGAGGGAGGAGAGCATCACCCGCCCACGACCCTATTCCAGCAGATTTGCCGCCGCCCGCGCTGTCGCCCAATTGGGGATCCGAGCACACATGGGACACAAGCACGCTGATGGATGCCAGCAGCTCATCACCAGGCAAGAAGTGAGACAATACCGGCTCCTGCTGCCCGGTCGTGATTGTGGCTGCGAACCGCTGCTGCTGGAATGAGTGGCAGAGAGGTGCACGATCCCCGTCCAGCAGCCAAAACTCTACCAGTATATCCAAGAACTTAGCCCCATAGAGAGCTAAATCCTGCTGTTGCTGCTGCCGGCTTTGGTGAGGGCTGCAGTTACCCACATCCACACCTCCTTCCAATTGGCGGGAAGGCGAGACATGTGCTCTCCGGAGTGGGTGGGTGAAACAAACTCGCTCTCGAGGGTATGTGGTCTGCCGAGGGTCCCCGTTCTCATAGTCAGTGGACACCTGTCCGCTGGTGGGAGAAGGGACCTTCGCGGAGCCAGAGTGGCCAAATGGCAAGAAGTGCTCCAAGTAGAGCAAGAGAAGATGTCGGTAGACACTGGGACACACAAGGGAGCTGTGTTGCATCCCCGGTAGGGACACCTTAAGGCTTCCGAGCGAGGACCGCAGTGCTGACGTGGTTGACCTACCCTGCGTTTGCTGCTGCTGATAGTATTGCCCTCCTCCGCTCCCATGCCTCGAAGATCTCCCTGACAAGTTCCCCTTGCAGCGGGCGTAATATGCAAACCAAAAGAAGTAGAAGTCCAGGAGTCCTAGACGCACCTGGAAGGGCTGATCACCTTGCCGACTGATGCAGCGTTTGAAAAGGCGTGACTCACGGCACAGAATGCTTGCACCTTCCTCCGTCCTCAAGAGCAACCTCGCCCAATCGGGCAGTCTTTCTGATGGGAAAAGGAACATGATCGTGCCCTCCTTGTCTATGTTGAGTAAGCTTTGGAGAAGTATGCCGGTAGGGGATAGAAGGGAGACCAATGCGATGGCATCGCCTTCGTGACCCGGGTGGGATGTGTGCTGCAGCCATCCCCCTGCCAAGGTCCCCTGGGGGAAAGGTGAGAGGGGAGATGATGCCTCCGGAAAAGGGCGGTCCCGGAACCCAAACACTTTCCGCAAAAGCAGTGGGAAACAAGAGGCGAAGAAATCGTGCGCCCGATCCCGATTCTCGCGAAGGAACGTCTCCACCGCGCCGCATGATGAGGTAATCGACGATGTCTGCAACAAAGTGGCCTGCAGCGACTCAACCTCCGAACGTACAGAGGACACAGAGACCCGATGCATCGCCAGGCTCCGAGCCTTTGCTTGCACACGTACACCACACATAGAATTTTGCCACAAAGGACTCTTAAATGTGGACCACCGCGTAAAGACGCCCCCAACCTTATCGCTCACTTGCCAACCTGGCTTTAGTTAGTTATCGCTTCCAACTTTCCAACAAATATCATCACCAATCCCATCAACAGCAAGACCCTCTCTGCAACCAAGTGGCCAGGAGGGAGGGATAGGGTCCCAGGACGCATGTTGCATTGAGAGACACTATGCGTTAACATCCTAAAGGATTTGAGCCTGTGACCTTGCCAGTGTGGGAGGCTTTGCACACGCACACATACACCCCCCCACATACAGCTTTGTCAGAGACGAGAGAAAAATGCTGACCCTATGCTCCATGGATTCGATCCTGGGACGCACAGAGAGGAAAATGCAGACCACCATGTCAGACACACCGAAACCTTATTGCTCAACTTGCCAATGTGGATTTCATCAGTTGTCGCTCACTTGCCACTGTGGCTTTCGTTCTATTATCACTCACTTTCCACCAGTTCCATTCCCAACCGATAGCAGCTCTTTTCTGCAACAAAGTGGGCTGCAAGGATCCGATCCCATGATGTACACAATTCAAAGAGAGGGCCTATGCATTGCCAGGTCCGGAAGCCTTCACCCTTGGCTTGCTTGCACACGCACACGATAAACAGAACTATGCATTGCCGGCCCGGAAGCCTTCACCCTTGGCTTGCTTGCACACGCACACGATAAACAGAACTATGCATTGCCAGGCCCGGAAGCCTTCACGCTTGGCTTGCTGGCACACGCACACGATAAACACAAACTTCCACAGGATTTGATCCTGTGATGTACACATGTCAAACGAGCGATCATCTGAGATTGCCAGGCCCGGTAGCCATCACCCTCTGCTTCCTTCCGCATGTACACCACCCGCAGAACTTGCCACGAAGGAAACCGTTTAGCCAAACTGTGGACCACCACGTCAGCATCAAACGCACCGAAGCTTATCCGCTCACTTGCCAAAGTTGATAACACTGCTCGCAATCAATAATGGCATCCTCTCCTGACCCGCAAGTGTTATGCTTTCGTTTTTTCACCCTCTTAGGTAGACAGCCTACCATTTTCTTCCTGTCCAGCTTCTCTCCTTCATTTCTCCTCTTCTGAGTTTAGACCGCTTGGCAATGCCCTCTCCCTTTTACAGCTTCTCTCCTTTGCCATCTCTTGCCTCTTGACGCCAACACTGCATATGCGAAGGTACCAAATTACCAATCAATTAGAACACGCAACAAGGGAGGAGAAAACAAATAGAACAAACTATGAAACTTCAATAATTTACAATTATACTTCAATCATTTCAATTCAATAATAAAGCAACAAGGCGATCCACTGTAGTGTAGCCAACAACTTCACCATCCCGTGAGGAGAGATGGTTAATGGAAGGCCCAAAATTGAAAATTCGGGGGTTTTCGGTTTTTTTCTCCAAATTCGGTGTTTTTGCCAACTTTTTCGTTACTGGTCCAAATACGCCGAAACCAATGCTGGTGCCCAGATGGACAGGGGGGCCCTGCCCCTACCGATAGCCTGCTGGTTGGACCGGGCGGTCCACTGGCCCGGCAGGCCCCCGGTCCAACCCAGCGCATCGCGCTGGGGGGGGGAGCGGGGGGAGGGTTGGTTATTGGCAAGTCACAGGCATCCCCGGGAGGTCGCTGCCTCTCTTTAAAAAAAAAAAAAAAAAAAAGGGGGCCTTTTGGACCCCGCTTGTTGAGAAAAATGGGCAGGGTATCTCCGCCTCTGATTTTTTGCAGATCAGCAGCGGAGAACCACGGCACATTTCTTTTAAGATGAGGGGTCCAATTGGACCCAGTTTCTCATTTTAGCGACATGTGGTCCGATGGACCACGGACCAGACATTGTTGACAGGTCCTTACACTCGTCCACTCTGAGCCAGGACGATGTTTCAGCAGTGGCAAGCTGAGATTATATGTTTCTTCAACGTCCCTGCGCTCTGGGCAAAAAGTTATGGGTTTGGGTTTCATGAAGTCAGAGTAGCAGTGCTGTCCGAGGTGCAAGCCCAAGAATGGACTTCGCTTCACTACATGTATCTGGACAGATTGTCAGGCAAGATACTTTTGGACTGATGAACCGACGTACATTTAAAAAAAAAAAAACAGAAAACGCTCTGCCTTCACGAGCTGAATCTGAACCCGTAACTTTCTACTTTTGAGTGCCATACTATGCAAGATCTATAAGTTTGAGCAAGGACCTCCCATCAGCATATCTTTTTCAGCCTCCTGGGTGTCGTGTATATATCCAGTTATGAAGTCCACAAACCCCTATGGTGCTGAACTGAAATTTTTGGGCCATGTGAGGGTCAGATGAGTAAGCCTTTTATCTTGACTCTTCTACGTGAAAGCCATACCTCGGCCTCCTGGGTGTCATGTATATATCCAGTTATGAAGTCCACAACCCCCTATGGTGCTGAACTGAAATTTGTGGGCCATGGGAGGGGCAGATGAGTAAGCCTTTTATATTGACGTGAAAGCCATACCTCCCTGACCCCACCCCAATAATACCTCCCCCCCTACCCTGGGATACCCCCCGAAGAAAAAAAAAATCGCGCCTTCAAAGTTTTTATGCGGATTTCGACAGATCTCACAAAGCGCAGTCAGAATACGCAGAACAATTTTATTTTATTTTTAATGGGCTTTTTTTTTTTTAAGTTTTAACCGTTTTTCTGGTTCACCCCCTCCGGGCCCAGCCCGGCCCCGGTTGCACCGGACGAGCAGAACCGGCTGGTTGCCGGCCCAGCCTTGGTCGACACTGAATACAGATGTACCCTAAAGCACATACATTTCACACACACCAAAAACAAAACAAAAAACAACACAAAAAATTGAAAAAAAACAAAAGAACGGAAAACTTATGGGAATTATTGCAGTTTCAGTGAATAATTCGCCAAAAATGACACCACCTATTCACCATTAGTGTGCCAACACTGCAGAAGCCACAGCATCACTGAGAGGGCGCAGCCTCTCCACAACCGAGTGCCGGCAGAAACTTGAAAACTGTGCTGCGAGAACGAAATGTTCACGGCAAATATCACTTCTAAAAAAACAACAAAGGAGGAGACACCACATAGAATTAACACTTTCAATAATTTAATTCAAATAATAACGTAACCAACAATAGCAAGCAAATCACCACAAGCTAAGAAACCATTCCAGGCGAGAACATCAAAATTGAATTCTGCGTAAAAGAGCAAAGTTAGAAAACGATAAAAAAGAGAGACGTTCAATAAAGATCTCGGAGACGGAGACGGAGACGGAGACGGAGACGGAGACGGAGACGGAGAAGGAGACGGAGACGGAGACGGAGACGGAGACGGACACGGACACGGACACGGACATGGAAACGGAAGACGGAGACGGAGACGGAGACGGAGACGGAGACGGAGGCGGAGACGGAGACGGAGACAGAGACGGAGACGGAGACGGAGACGGAGACGGAGACGGAGACGGACACAGAGAGACAAAGAGACAGAGGACAAAGAGACAGAGGACAAAGAGACAGAGAAAGACACAGACACAGACACAGACACAGACACAGACACAGTGTCACATGCCTGGTCCGGCGATGTACACAATAACCGAGGATCCGCAATGTGATAAAAAGGACTGAATGGACAATGCAGTGCAAGTAGAATCTCAACAAGCAATGTGCATTCTGATACATACAAAATGGTGCTGAATAGCGCAGGGAAGACTTAGATACAAATCCTGACCTGACCGGGACTGACCTCATTCACGTAATACAAGATATCGAAGCAGAATGCTAGAATGCTAATGACTAGC